GCCTAAGGCACTTGACTGCTAACCAGAAGGCTGGCGGTTCAAACCCACCAGCCACTCTTTGGAAGGAAGACTGGGCAATCTATTTCTGTAGAAATACTGCCCCAGAAATCCCAGGAGGGGTCTCTATGAGTTGGGAGTCAACTCAACGGAAGTGAGTTTTTAGAGTTAGTATTCTGTTGTATGAAGGTACCATAGTTTGGTTATCCGTTCATCTGTTGACAGACATTTAGTTTGTTTCCATCTCTTTGCTATAGCCAATTGTGCTGTGATGAACATGGTTGTGCATATGTCTATTCGTGTCCTGGCTCTTACTTCTTTAGGATATATTCCTAGCAATGGGATTGCTGGGTCAAATGGTAATCTCCAACTTTTTAAGGAATCACCATACCGATTTCCACAGTGGTTGTATCATCTGACGGTCCCACCAGCAGTGTATGAGAGTCCCAATCTCTCCATATCTTCACCAGCATTTGCTATTTTCTGTCTGGTTGAACTTTACTACTAGTGCTTGGTTGAGATGATGTCTCATGGTTGTTTCAATATGCATCTCTCTAATGGTTAATGATCGCAAATATCTCTTCATGTTATTTGTTGGCCACCTGAGTATCTTCTTTGGTGAAGCATCTGTTCATTCTTCTGCCCATTTTTTAATTGGATTGTGGGTTTTTCTGATGTTGAGGTGTTGAAGTTTTCTATAAATTTTACAGGTAAGTCCTTTGTCCGATTTATTCTACATTAAGTCTTTGCACACTGTTCAAACACCAGTTGTCTTGGGATCTTCTCAATAAATCTTCCAAAAAGGCAGAGGTTATGTAGACAAACACTAGTTTAGAGCAACTCAGAGACGGGTGCTAATTCCCCTCAAGGTTTATTTGTTAAACAATATTTTGGAAAAAGCAGAAGAAAGTATTATTTGCCAATGTCAGCAATCTGATGCCCATCTAAATTTATGGAAGGGTTCTGCATTTGGGAAAGCTTACACTGAGAAATGCCTGGTGCCAAATGAAGGAGCTCTGGTGGTGTACTGGGTAAGGCATTTGGCCGCTAACCAGAAGGTCAGTGGTTCAAGCCCACCTAGCTGCTCCGTAGGAGGAAGATGACGCAATCTACTTCCATAAAGATTTACAGCCTTGGAAACCCAATGGAGGTTTCTGTGAGTCAGAACTGACTCAATGGCAGTGGGTCTGGTTTTGGTTTGGTGCTGAACTAAATAAACCCCCAGAAAAGTTTATGTTTCTTCCCCACTTGAGATAAGGCTGGCAGCAAGTAGTGGCTGTTTTTCTACAAAGGTCAACTTGAAAATTGACTAAGTCATGGTTGAATATCACAAATCCCACCCACAAAGAAGTCTGAATGAGTTCACTATCAGCACAGAAAGAGCTCTCAGAAGAGCGACCATTTTCCCACTTTCTAAACGGGCTAAGCACGGATGACTGTACTTAGCTAAGCCATTCCAACACAGAGTACAAAAATTGTTCTCATTTTGCACTTCAAATGCTGCAGGAATTTTTCTTATTTTTTTCCTTTAAAGATGGAGAAAATGTCCTTCCTTACAGATGGGAAAAGTAGATCCCCAAATCCAGTTAGTGAAGTAGCACAGGAAGGTTCCTGAATCCCACCTTCTATTCAACTATTCTTGTAATGCATCCTGGTTCCAGTAAAAATTCTGAATGAGCACATGGTCCCATTTAACATGCATTCACTGTGTATTTACTGCGCATGGCTTCTGAATCATCGTCCACCAAATGATTAGCAATGTTAGATTAATCTAGAAAAGTCTTAGTGCTGTGCATGACGTTCATGTTCATACACACACACACACACACACACAGAGAGAGGAGAGAAAACAGACGCAATCCATGTTAGCTGGCTGTGTACCTGATTTCACATGTTCATACACACACACACACACACACAGAGAGAGAGAGAGAGAGAGAAAACAGATACAATCTATGTTAGTCAGCTGTGTACCTGATTTCACATGTTCATACACACACACACACACACAGAGAGAGAGAGAGAGAGAGAGAAAGAAAGAGAGAGAGAGAGAAAAAACAGACACAATCTACGTTAGTCGGCTGTGTACCTCATTTCACACGGAGCTTGTTCTGGTTCCCTAGTGCCACTCTGACAAGAATATACCACAAAAGGGATGGCTTGAGCAAACAGGAGTTCATTCTCTTACAGTTCGGGAGGCTAGAAGTCCGAGGTCAAAGTGCCAGGCTCTAGGGACTATGTGAAAGCCCCTCGACCTTGGGCTTCAGCTCTGCCTCTTGCTCCTGGCCAAGTGAAGCTAGAGGCATCTCTT